AAAGAACCCTTTAACCGGATACTGGTATATAATGAAGTTCAATAACATCTCTTTCACTTAGGACGCTCTTTGATTATTGCTGGCACGGCATAGCCTCGCTCACGTGTAACTGGCGAAGAGAATGAACGGTGTGCATGAGTCATGAGCAAAATCATCAGTCCATATCTCGTTTTCATTCCGCCACAACGTGGTGACATCGTTTGAAGTTACATAACGAAAAAAAGATTTTGTACATCATAGTCGTCTTGTTTCATTAGTCCGCCTAACAGACAATCTGCTATTGTTCCCCAGCTAGAGTCAGCATGTAAAGGAGCGATCGTATTACCAAATCATATGACCTCCAGTCATCTTCCAATGGCTACGGCTGCCGAGGTAGGTCACAGGAGGGTACGGTCATACAGACATACTTACATAATGTCAGACAGACTGTAAGGGGGTGTGTACACAGATCCCGGTTACAAGTGGGTGATCAAAGTAAAGGTTCTATCTGCAGTCGTACTGGAAGGCGAATATTTTCCCATCCCTCAGAGCAGAATCTGACAACGAATGTGACTGATTTGAACTCAGCGTTGCACAACGTCATTGACGTGAAATAGTAGCCATAGGACAGAGTCTTCATAAGGATATGCAAGGGACCCTCTTCAATTTGCGGAAGCTAATTATTCGTTGTATAAAAAGATCTATTAAGTAGATGAGAAGTGTTTTGCTCTCTAGGATGTATATATTGTTATCATGAAATCATCAGCTGCGGGTCAAGCCACGATGGCATGTCGAATAACTCCGAAAACCCAATGCTGGGCAATGCCGGAACCGAGGGAAGCGAGTTCCATGGCAGGGTTTGGTTGTAGCCTTCTGTGAATGATGTTTGAAATGTAGTAGCGGGGTAAGGGTTATACTCTGCTAGGGGGAGCGTACAGTCGAGGGTGCTGTAGTTCGAATAGGGAATGATAGATGATATGGGGAAAGGATCGGACGACTCGGCGTACCCTCCGTCAGTGATTGGCGTGCCTAACTCGACTGTGCTTGACGCATCGGGCTGAGGCGTCGAAGGCCGCATCTCACCTAGCACAATATATTTCAATCGCTGCATGTCGTTGCTTGCCATGGCGTCACGGACTTCCTGCAGTTCTCTGCGGAGATGTTCCACTTCTGATTGCAGGCGTCTAGTTTCTTCTTGCTTCTTCTTCCGGTGCTTGGCCTGAGCATCTCGATTTCTTTTCCTTCTCATCTCGGGTGAAACACGGGTCATATTTGCCGTGAGCTAGTAGGGGCTTCTGATGATTGTTCAATGGAAGCCGATAGCCCATTGATATACCACCCAGGCTTCGTATGGAATGGCAT